ACTCATCATAAACTACAGGCACCTTGAATGCAACATCTGCAATCTTAGCATGTTGATATAAAAATAACTAAAGAAAAAACCACCTTCAACAACCACTGTGTTTCTTTGGCTCACTATAATTTATTTGAACACCTTTTTCTTCTTCTTTGCTATAAAACTTTTTATTAATAATCATGGATATAATGAAGGCTATTCTGTTCTCAATTGATAGAAAAGAGAAAAATATGAATGTTGATTATGTTATAAATTTGTTTAATAAGTAAAGTTTCTGATGAGTAATATTTAAATGTATTGTTAAATAATAAAATAATTTATATATTTAAACCCTCACTAATTTACTAAAAGTATATTAAGTATATTTTATAATTTAGCATAGAATTGATAACTTATTAAATTTAAATAAAATTTAATCTCACATTAATAGGTAGAAATGTGGGTCATAGTAGAGAATAGGAGTTCTAGGACTTCAGAAAAATGCTTAAGAAATAAAATACTACTGAGTAAAAATTAATTTTTTGTTTTATGTTCATTAAATTAAAATGAAACATACAAAATAATGGATATATTATAATGTTATTTTCATTGTAGGTTTCAAGAGCTATTGATTTCTTATATATACTTTAGTCAACATTTAACTTTGGGATCGCAATAATTAGTATCACCATACATCAGTCCTCTTTAGCAAATTTTGGATCTCAAATATTAACTTCATTAGGGTCTCTTATAGTATCATTAGGGTAGTTTACAATTTATCATCTAAAATCTATCATGGCAAAAATTTACTTTGTTTGTATTTTTCATCAAATGTCTCCAAATAAAGAATGTAGCTAAGTGACAAAAACAATGAAAACAAATATGTAAAAAATTACCAAAATCATATAACATTTTAGGAAAAATGCTTTTGGCTTTATGGAGTTGTACTTAGATTGTTTCTGTAAAAACTGTTGCTTATGTTTTCTACCATGGTTTACAGGGCCTCTGTGCCATCTGCTTGTTCTGATATTATCTGACTACAGACCTCAATCTTGTTATTTTCTTGATTTGGTCCATTGCCTCCATTGAACACAAATTGTATGTATATTTTTGTGTACTCAAACCAATCTTTTTCTCTAAGTATTTACAATTTTTAGTTTCTGGTTTTCTCTTATTCATTTATTTTACCTGTACTATGCCATTTGTTTAAATCCTTTTGAATTTAAATAAACTTAAAAATTATAATATTTTTATCCATTCACTGCTCCCAACCACGCAAAATTCTCGAGCAGTCAGTCCTCTTTTTCTGACCACCCTGATTATCAAATATATTCTTTACTTTTGTTACATTTGAATTTTTTCAAATAGAGTCAGTACCATGGGTGAAAGTTTCCATGACTTACCAGAGGCTATTTGTGTCATCTAACCTCATTCCCATAGTTTTGTCATCATTAACATGGGGGTAATAATTACACCAATATCATGGTTGAAGTGTCAACATTAAGTAAAATAGTTAATGAGAAAACGTCACATAATAGTTCACACAAAGCATCAGCAAAAACTAGAAAGTCTTTCTATTAAGATTGCTTTTGTTATTCTATTGTGAAGGCAAGGAAGATATATTTCAGGCTTATTAATACATTGAGCTTAATTGTAATATTAAAACTTTTTATAAGGTAGTAAACTTTCAAGGGGTGCCTTATTGATGTTACTCTGAATATGATTCCTTCATGAAAGCTTAGAACTAAAGTCACATGCAAGTAGAGATATCAAGAAACACTAACCACTTTCATCTTTTGAGGGCATAGCAGTCATCTAAAACAATGAGAAATACAAACAAACAAACAAAGAAGGGCACCCAAACCAATCCAGATGTCATAGATGTTTGTTGAGCAAAATAATATGTTTAAAAGAAGGAAAAATTAAGTTTTCATACAAGATCATGATCAATGTAATTGTGTTAACAGTACTAACATGCCAAGAAATCAACACATGGCCAAATGTAAGATTTCCTTTGTGATGAGGCTCAAGTCAAACCACTATTAATTGTCTTTTAGATTAAAGACTTCTTCGACAAAGAATGGCTTTCATTGCTGTCCTTGAAGCTTCACTTTACAGTTGTTCATTCTTTCAAAGATATGTAATACATATTATTAAACAACTATGAGAAAGATGACTTGTCTTTAAGATGGAGAATACAAAAGATTTTGCATTCTGTATTCTCCACCACTTAACAAATTGGGTAGAAGATCACACTATTATGACCATAGTAACCTTGAGTAGAAGATCACACTATTATGACCATAGTGACCAGTATCCCAGGTTTTCTTTGACATAGCTGGTTTAAATTACGTGTTTTACCTCTTTATATATACTTACTGTTAGGCAATATTTCTATAGTTTTGATTCAGAAAATATTGGCACTGTATTGATTTACATAAATCAAAGCTATGAATATCAAGTAACGTTTTGTTGAGAACGGAAGGAATCAGGCTTGAATGTCTGATTCACCTTAGACACTGGGTAGGATTTGGATGAGAGCAATGTGTGTGTTTGGTGGGGAAGTGTTCAATATTTGGGGGACAAAATTTCTGTAGAATACAGTAATAAGCATAAAAATTAGAGAGGCATAAGGCAATTTAGGGAAACACTGAGTTTACAAATTTACTGTAAAATAAAATAAAAAAAAATTTTGAGCCCTGTGTAGTAGAAAACTTTAAATAATAGGCTGAAGAAATGTGTAGTCACTTTTTATTTTGTAGTCAGTAGTAAATAATTGGAGACAGATAAGCAAGGTAGTAAAATGGAAATGCAATGAATATGGAGGAAAAGGGAGCTTGAAGATTATTTTCTCTAAATTCCTTATTTTATTGATGAGGATACTGAGGCCTATAGAAGTAAAGCAACTAGTCCAAAGCCCCATTAAACTGCCTATGTATCATATTAGTTGTATTATGTATTTCTAGGCTTTAGATGTCTTAGTTGGTATTCTTTTTAAATATTTTTAAGTAACTCAACTATAAATGTAGAGGGGAGGGAAACTTACATTTTGAATGGTTTTCAAATAGAAACATAAATTTTAACTTTCCATCTCACTGTGAGGCTTTTTGCCAAACTGAAAGACTGATTCACTGCCATTCCCCTAAATTTGCTTCATCCATTTGGAGCACATTATAATAGAAAGAAGCTGCTACCAGACTTCTGGTGCCAAAACATTTCAGGAAAAAAAAAAAAAAAAAACAAAGATGAGCTTCTACCTCCTTACAAAATTGCATCACTGCTGCTTTTTCTTTCATCTTTATTGCAAATATTTAAACAAAAAACAAATGTGATCAGCAAAGATTGTGAGAAATTTATTGTGAAGACAAATAAAGCTCTAGATATGTCAAAGTTGGTTAGCTGACTCACCTTTATTAAGTGTGAATAGAAGCCTAATCTTTACAGTGATTACCATACACCCAATTAAATGAGATACCTTTTCTTGTAAAATCATACTTTTTTGGTACCTATTTTCTTTACTGTCTTTTTCTAAATGCCAGTATGCTAGAAATTGCCCTTTACGTGTGTCTCTTAAAAAAAAAAAAATGAATGAGTACATTGAGGAAAAATATTAAAATAAAGGAAGACATAACAGACGTCAAGCATAGAAAGTTATTGTTTGAACCGTTTTTACGAAGTATTTGCAAATCTCTCTATGAGATAGAACACATTCAATTAACATAATTAATTCTTTAAAAACCCTGAATTTATTTGACCCATACTAATTTCACTGGGCTTGATTACATGGACCTGCATATCACATAATTTCTCAAACACTAAAACATCCTATCAGTGAAATACATGAATTAAATCGTCACCCCTTAAAGTACAAGACACACTACAAATCTCCAAGGCGGATTCTCTGAGTCCCTGAAATCGCAAGCAGGGACACTGCCTCTGTATTTAGATACCCTACCCTTTACTTCTGAAGAAAAGATTGAGTAATTTTCTCACACCAGCCGCCTAAGTATGGGCGGAACAGAAAGGGTCCGCCGCAGTGAGGGATAGGGGTGTTGAAGAAACTAGCCCTGGACCCGCAGAGCCTGCGAATGAATGCGCGGCCGCGTGACGACGAGGTCGTGGACGCCCCAGCCTGCGAGAGGGCAGCAGGCAACATGCCCCACAGAGGGACCCGCTCCTCTAGGGGCCGCCGGCTGAGCGAGGGCTGGTTCTCCTTCGGCCTCCCGGGAACCCCGATCCTCTCCAGCCAGCGGCGTCGGGAGGATGCTTCGCCCTAAGTATCCGGGGAGGGAGCCGCGCCTTTCCCGGCGACCGC